TTTATCTGGGGCATTGTGCTTACAGGCAGCTCCCAGAAGTGGTCTGAGAGTCCTCAAAGTATCCCATAACCACTTGATGTAGCCCTTCAACTCCCATTTCCCATAGAGGAAAGTAACACTATGTCAGTTACATTTGTGTCTCCATGGGACAGACTCTACTCTGAGTGGTTTATCCCCCAGCCTCATCCTGACAGCACATGACTGAGGAAACTGAGTCACAGCTAAAGCACAGCAGGCTGGAATAAGGCCTTAGACCTGCTGCCACATGTGGTGCTGTGCTTCAAGTACTGTGCTGTTTGACTCACAGGTACGTGAGGGAGCCCAGCCCAGAGCAGCCCAGCCTCAGGTAGAGGCACACACTTGCACTCTGTGGCTGGTCTTGGGTTGAATCAACGTTTGAAGTTAAAAGGAACAGGGGACACCAAAGACAGTTTGGGGCAGGAGCCAAGGCTCAGACTCCACCCAGGAACCCCTTGGAAGCATGTGAAGTTAATTTAGAAGAGTCTTACTTCCTACAGAAACCTACTCTGACTTCTCTGGTAAGCAACAGACTTCTGAAGTCAGTAGGGGCAGCACTCTACTCTCAAGGATATTCTCCGGTGTCTGATACACACCCGAAGAGCACCATAGCAACAGCAGCCGCTGCCATAATGATGTTCACAGTAGACCCATTCCACTTCTGAGTCCATTCGCCAATGGACTTCACCAATTCCATTCATAAGCTCCTTGATCCTTTGGAAGTTTACTATGCTTGGCTGGGAATGTTAACTTCAGTCGTTCTGCTCTCTCTCTCTCTCTCTCTCTCTCTCTCTCTCTCTCTCTCTCTTCAGCCAGTTAACAAGGAGGTGGGACTTAAGAGAATGCAGTACTTATTTTACAAATGAACTCTTGAGAAGAAAGTTCATGTGAATAGCACGTGGACCACACAGCTCTTCAAACCAAGACTGGAAACAGATGCTGTCTGCTCCTCTCCTTTCACCAAGCTGAGCAGTGCGCAGCCCAAAGCTATGCAAATAGGGGAGGTAATCACTCAGCTGTTCCGTGAACAGAGGACTGGAGTCTGGAAGCTCACACCATAGTTTCTAGTCCCTGAGTAAACATACGGCAGGTTAACCATTAGCATCAATCCCTTTCTAAAGCAATCTTCCTGTCAAGTCTAAGTCCTTCCTCAGGGTAAGAGGATATGCACTCAGGGCTTTTGACTTCTGATAGCCTGAATCCACATTCTAAACCAAGAAGCCTGGTGTCCAGTTGGCAGGCTGGCACAGCAACTTATGGACTCACACAGTCTTGAGATTGGTCCCTATCAGACCGTTTACCAGTCAACTTAGCCTAGTGAGTGTATGATCCTCTCTGAGTGTCAGCATCTTTCTAGGTGAGTGAAGTACTCACATCTTCCCCTAAGCCTAACCGTAGGCATTAAACAAATCAAATACCCACAGTGCACCTCTACCCTGCCTGCCAGTGGCCTATAATAGCTGAGCCAACACACAGCAAGTACAGGAGCACCAAAAAGAGGTAGTGCTCATACCAGGAAGATGATACAAACAAAAAGAATTATGGGGTCTTTCTGGGTCCCTAAATAGTGGCAAGAGGAACTGAGAACTTCTCCCTCTGGAGGGGATGCACAGAGAATTATAGATCTTTTTTTCTTTTGGGGGTTTAAGACTTTATTGCTGTATACTTTCTGTACAATAAGTTGAATTGCTAAAATTTGATAAGCTTTGACATAAGTATACACCTACAAAATCATCAACACACTTAAGATAAATAAACATAGCCATCGCCCCACCCCCAATGAAATCCCTTAGCAGTCCGTCTCCCATGCCCCTCCCAGGACTTCCATCCAAGCAACTATTGATTGGCTTCCTGTCTTTGAAAATCACAGTGCTTTGAATCTTCCAGAATGGTAGATAAATGAGGCTGCTCAATGACTCTGACAGTTACTGTAATTATTCAATAGTCACCTACAAAAACCCTTCTTTTAATGAGTATAATCACTTGCCACTCCCAGCAGTGGTCACCACAACTTTTCCCAAAAGGAAAACTCCCATGCAGGAAACCAGACAAATGAAAGGAAAGGTCTGGGCGGGCTTGGGGTGTCTCACCAAGGAAAAGGAACAAGGGACACTCTGGTTTTTCTTTTGGAACCAAAACTAAGAACTGGAGACTCAGAAAAGGAACTTGGTAATCAAAGCCTTTCTGGCTTAACTTACCAGTGAAACTAGTTAGCTATCCACTTCCTTAGCTTAGCCCTTCCCATCATGAGAAAGAGCTTTGCTTTCCTGTTTGACAGATCAGGAGATTAAAGCTCAAGGATTTGGGAGATTCAGGTTCTCACAGCTAACAAGTGTCTATGCTGGGAACTGGACCCACTTTCTCTTTCCTACTGTTTCCTTCCCAGCCCTAATATTCTATTCAGAGAGCGACTATTCAGGACAAGTGCTGTTGCCATAGCCTTTTCTTCTTCTTTGACTTCATTAGTTATTTTTTCCATTGTCATTCACACTTAGGTCAGATTTTAAAGGAAAGAGGGAAAGTGGATGCCACATGAGAAAACAATAGCAGGGGCCAGAGGAAATTCCCAAAGAGAAATGAAATTCAGACACTTGTCATAATACACACACACTCACAGGTGCATACAGACACTCACAAACACACAATAACTTACACACCAGTACATACACATACACTCACACAGACACATCCACACAAGAGCATGCAGACACTCACAAACACATGAGACATACACACACATATGCATGCACACACAGGCACACACATGCACACACACACACACACTAATATGGACACACACACTCGAAAACCCAAGAACATACACATACATAGGTGCACACACTCACATGGGTACACACATGCACACAGGTGCACATATGCACATAGACACACACTCACAAAGGCACATATACTCACACAGGCACACACATTCACATAGGCACACACACAGCAGGGAATCCGGATCACAGGACCTCTGGAGTCACAAGAATCTGATTCAAGACCTAGAGCCACCACTTCTTGTCCTTGTACAGGTCACTTCCCTCTCTCTGCCTCTGTTGCCTATCCAATGACTAGTATTGACAGACAAGTCGCAAGATGTTTAGGACGAAAGGTTGTGCTGGGTCACAGGTGCTCAGCACAGCATCTGACACATGATAAGCACAAACCACCAATTAAGATGATTATTAATTCTCCCACAAGGGTTTTTTGCTATCCATACCTTTTGTTCTATAAATAAGGCAATGAAAATACATACACACTCTTTAGTGGACATAAGCATGACAAATAGGAGAAACAGAGACCCTCAGGGGAATCATCCAGATGGAACACATAGCTGAGCATTGTAGGACGTTTTTGCTGAATAGCTGAGACAGTAGGAAGCACGAAGAATAAGAAACACAGACCAGTAGTTAGATAGAAGGAGAAACACAATCTAAGGGCTAGGAGGTCTGAGGAGAACAGACAGAACATTAGAAACCATTGTTTATTAGGTGATTGCTAGATGTAAACTCTTCATGCACAGTTTACCACTGACAGTTGCTTCTTCTGCAGCAAATTTACTTATCCAGTAACTGACAGAGATTGAAGCTTGAATTTGGCAAACAAAACACCCAGGCCAGACTCTGGATCCTACATTGACAACCTATCTTCATAGCTAATCTTCCAGGAGCCAAAAGCCAAACTAGTATGGTCTTACCAGTCGTCAGTTTCCCTCTAGGCCCACCAAAGCCTTCTCGGGGTATTCCTTGTAGCTCTAGGAAGGGTCCCAATCTTTCACCCACCTTACAGACTCCCACTGGGAAATGGCCATATTTCTCGGAACCTTCCCTCGCAGGGAAGCAGGCTTTCAGAGCTTCGGTTACTTGCATAGAGAGAATTGTCTTAGCAGAAAGGGTCCAGGAAGAGTCTTTCACACACTAGGGCACTAGAGCCCCTCTGAACATCAGAGCTCTGTGACCCATCTCAATGAGTCCCTCTGTGGAGTGTCTAGGTAGGCAGTTCTGACAGGGCCTGCAGAACTGTACCAGTGAAGTTTTGGAGATTTTGCAAGTTTCGCAAGCCAATCTGGACCCCCTAAAACACTCCTATCCCCAGCTCAACCTAGAACTTTCTATACGAATTATTTCAGAGGCAGAGTATATCCTGCTCTACCCTGCGCCCCCAGGTTCAGGTCGTGAGCCAGCTACTGTTATCAAGATCTGTGAAAGGGCTTTTGTGAGGAGCCTGCTCTCCCAAGGACAACTCTGTGTCCCTCAGCCCACTCTGTCCAGAGCCCTGGGGAAAGGAAGTCAGAAAAGCTAGAAGCCATTCTTGCAGTTCTGTTGTTCCTGAAGCATTCCCAACCCCCACTCCGTGGGGGGCAAAAACAGCAGTGAGTTTCTGCTACACTGCAGCCAGGCCCTCACCTGCTGTATTGTCCCGGGAAGCCGAATCTGTATTGGGTAAGAGAGAGGTGGGGCTCAGGGGTACAGAAGGGGACGCAGAAGGCCGGGGTCGGGGGACTGGGGTCTGCAGATTCTGTCTAGCAGCATCTTAATAATAGCTCCCCGTCTCCCTCGGGGCTGGATCCCGCTCGGGCCTGGGATGGTATTGATCATCCTGCCTACTTCATTAGGTTGGCAAGAACCTCTCAAGCGCTCCTCAACTTCTATGCTCTTCCGCGTCTCCCGACCCAGGCGGCACCCAGCTGAGCCCTGCAGGGAGTTTTGGTTGGTATTCTAGGTTCTGTCAAAGAATAGGGTGTTTTCTTTGCGGTGGGGGTCGGGGACACGGGGATCTAACCCAGTGGCCAGCTCGGTGGTGGTGGCGAGCGACACACCTCGCTAGCTCTGGCCCCAGCCGGCTCCTTTAATTCGAGTTCGCTGCGGGGCCAGGTGCGGCGCTGCGTGGCGCGGTGCGGCGCGGTGCGGCTGCGGGCGGCGGCCGGGCGCTCCGTACGCGCCGCCCGCGGGACTGCAGAGTCGGCTCCCGGCTGGCCGCCCGCACCCCGCCGCCACCACCACCACCGCCCGCTGTCCGGGTTCTGCCTGCGCTGGCTATCACACAGGAACATGGAGGCTCTGGTACCCATCTGCAAGGGTAAATCAGTGTCCGGCATTCTGCTGCGCATGCTGCCATCCCTGACTGGTTGCAGCGCCCATAGGGGCTGCAAGGCACCCCGGTAGTCTGGGTGGGCGAGCTGGTGCCGACCCCTGATGTCGGCCTGGAAGGTTATGGACCCGCACCAGCTGCGTGGGACTTAAGGGGGATACTTGTTCCTGCAGAAGAGTGCATGGAATGGGCTCGGGGACCCTGTGGTCTGTGCGTGACATAGGGCGGAGGGCGCAGATTGGAGCTGGCGGGTGATGGGAAGTGCAGCTGACTGCATAGCCACGTCTGGTAAATAGTGGGTGGGTAGGACCCGAGTCACTTGGGTCCTCCTGGTTACAATTGCCTCTAGGCAACGGAGTAAAATGGGCTTCTCTGCAGTCTCTTGTTTTTTCTACTTGGCCGGGGTGGTGGGCTGCGGTGAAGCCCTCTTCCCTAAAAGGAAGCTAGATCTGGGGCAGCTGCCTGGTGACGCCTGCTCTGTACCCTCAGAGTTCGGGCTCCCGTGCTTCAGGTGGAGATGAAGCCATGGTGGTCCCTCCGCTGGACCTCGTAGGCACCAGTTAGGCTGCCCTCGGGCCCGCAGCGGGAGCCCACCGCACTGCGCAGGAAGGGGTTAAGGTGGCACACTCTAGCGGTCCGGCGGCTGCAAGCTCCGGTCAGCCGAGCTGATTCCGGCGGGAGCGTGCCGGTGGAATCCCGGTTGGAGCCCCGGGCGTTGGGAGAGGACCCAGACCCCTCCCCGGCTCTGGAGCCGGCGGGATTGGGTCGGCGGGGGGCCAGCCCGGAAGCCAGCTTTCTCTAGGCTCCCCCTCTCTCTATGAAGCCAATCGGCCTGGCAGTAAGGCAGCTTGCGCGTTTGTTCTGTGCTTCCCTGCGGAGATGTGAGGGATTTTCTCTTGGGAAGAAATCAGTGGTTGAGTGCCTGCCCAGCTCAAATGCCACCCAACCCAGAGCAAGGCCTGAGGCCCAAGGATCCCGGAGGGAGAGTAAGTTCAGCGACCCCGTCTATTGAGCATTCTACAGAGGTGATCTGGCTGCTTGTGAGGTCTCTCTAGTTGGGAAAGAGTGTGTGTTGGGGAGGAAGGATTGCTTCTTTACCAGGACATTGTTAAGGTCAGAGAGGAAAACCCTCCCCCTTGGGAGATTTGTGTTCTGACACTGAGAAAGCTGGGTAGCTCCTGTTGGCAGCTGAGCACTAGGGAGAAAGTGCTTCAAGCTGATGGGAAGGGAAAGCTTATGCTTACCCGGGAGAGGCTAGGAAGAAGCTACAACGTGGTGGTTCTCATTCACAAGCACCATGGAACGTAGGTATGGGGGCTTGCCGCTTGCTGTGAGGGGATCTGCCAGAGCCCTTCTAAGTTTTGGTCTCAGCTGCCTGGAAGCCTTGGTTCCACCTTGCTGCTGTATTTTCCAGGCAACGTCACACCTCCTGAGGACAGCCAGGAGAACTCTGGCTTTTGCTGAGCTGTGCATCTTACCTCCTTCCTTCCAAAGGCTTCAGACCCAAGCTCCACTCTCCTCAAGTCGTGTGCGCCCCTGGCCAAGCATCTCACTGTCCCCTCGGAGCCCCATCTAGTCCTAGAGCACACCTCCAGGACCTGCCCTCCTGCTCAGAATGACTCACCATTATTTCCAGCTCAAGTGAGAAGATGTGACAGGGACCGAGCTGACTATTTGTGTATCTGTGGCATTGGATCTGCTCTTCAAGGAAGAGAACCTCAGGCTCCTGCCTGGCCAGGTAAATCAACCAATCACTTAGTAACACCCATAGAGAGGCATTGGGGGTGGTATCAGTGACCAAGGCCCAGGCCCTAAACACCCTACCATGAATGCCTCCTTTGGTGCAGGTATTGCCAAAACATTAGCACAGTGCCTGGCAGAGGGTTCCCTTCTCCACTCCTCCAGTGGAGCTATGTCCCAGGATGTGTCTAGTACACAGGATCCTGTCTTGGCCACCTGCCCCTAGTGCAGGCCATTCTATAGCTTCCTTCAAAGATTGTTTGTTCCCTGAACTCTATTGACCCCTAGACAAGTGACAAGGTGAAAGTAGTTTTAGCGGCAGAAGTGATGGTACAGTCATTTCTGAACTCTTAGGAACATCAAGTACACCTCATGTCAGGTTGCCAGTGACTGGTGATCTCATGTCCTTACCTGCCTCTGTCTTTCAGCCAAGCGAGGCTGTGTCTCCAACTCACAGAGGGCTCTAGAGCTTTCCTGCAGGAGCACAGACTAATGCTTCTGTGTTTCCTGAGGCCCAGCTACCAGCACCCTGAGTTCCCTGCTGCAGGCAGCTGGAAGGCATAAAATAAAATACACTCCTCAGCCCCAATTATGACAGTGGCTACCGGAGACCCAGTGGATGAGGCTGCTGCCCTCCCTGGGCACCCACAAGACACCTATGACCCAGAGGCAGACCACGAATGCTGTGAGAGAGTGGTGATCAACATCTCAGGCCTGCGGTTCGAGACTCAGCTAAAGACCTTAGCCCAGTTCCCAGAGACCCTGTTAGGGGACCCCAAGAAACGGATGAGGTACTTCGATCCCCTCCGAAATGAGTACTTTTTTGATCGCAACCGCCCTAGCTTTGACGCCATTTTGTACTACTACCAGTCTGGGGGCAGGTTGAGGCGACCTGTGAATGTGCCCTTAGATATCTTCTCTGAAGAAATCCGGTTTTATGAGCTAGGAGAAGAAGCAATGGAGATGTTTCGGGAAGATGAAGGCTACATCAAGGAAGAAGAGCGTCCTCTGCCTGAAAATGAGTTTCAGAGACAGGTGTGGCTTCTCTTTGAATACCCTGAGAGTTCGGGGCCTGCCAGGATTATAGCCATTGTATCTGTGATGGTCATTCTGATCTCCATCGTCAGCTTCTGTCTGGAAACCTTGCCCATCTTCCGGGATGAGAATGAGGACATGCATGGTGGTGGGGTGACCTTCCATACCTATTCCAACAGCACCATCGGGTACCAGCAGTCCACCTCCTTCACTGACCCTTTCTTCATTGTAGAGACTCTCTGCATCATCTGGTTCTCCTTTGAGTTTCTGGTTAGATTCTTTGCCTGTCCCAGCAAAGCTGGCTTCTTCACCAACATCATGAACATCATTGACATTGTGGCTATCATCCCTTACTTTATCACCCTGGGGACAGAGTTAGCTGAGAAGCCAGAGGATGCCCAGCAAGGCCAGCAGGCCATGTCACTGGCCATTCTCCGTGTCATCCGGTTGGTAAGAGTCTTTAGGATTTTCAAGTTGTCCAGACACTCCAAAGGCCTGCAGATTCTAGGTCAGACCCTCAAAGCCAGCATGAGAGAATTGGGCCTCCTGATATTCTTCCTCTTCATTGGGGTCATCCTGTTTTCTAGTGCTGTCTATTTTGCAGAAGCTGATGAGCGAGATTCCCAGTTCCCCAGCATCCCGGATGCTTTCTGGTGGGCAGTCGTCTCCATGACAACTGTAGGCTATGGAGACATGGTTCCAACTACCATTGGGGGAAAGATAGTGGGTTCTCTGTGTGCAATTGCAGGTGTGTTAACCATTGCCTTACCAGTCCCTGTCATAGTGTCTAATTTCAACTACTTCTACCACCGGGAGACAGAGGGAGAGGAGCAGGCCCAGTACTTGCAAGTGACAAGCTGTCCAAAGATCCCGTCCTCCCCTGACCTAAAGAAAAGTAGAAGTGCCTCTACCATAAGTAAGTCTGATTACATGGAGATACAGGAGGGAGTAAACAACAGTAATGAGGACTTTAGAGAGGAGAACTTAAAAACAGCCAACTGTACCTTGGCTAACACAAACTATGTGAATATTACCAAAATGTTAACTGATGTCTGACTGAAACCTACTAATGTACTCACAGCTCAACAGGACTGATGCAGATGTTGCATAATAGCCTGCATTGTAGTCAGTGTTCTACAGTGTGCATCTGGTTCTGCATGGAAAGCAATAGTCGTGCAAGTGACTTTTGATCTTTTGATTTTTGATTTAGAACACAGAATATTTATCATGGCTTTCATGAAATCTTCATCACCGACCTACAGGTTTCCAAAGATGAGAGTCACCCATGAAGCCAACATCTCAGAAAAGCACAATGCAGCCCCCTCATAGCCCCCACACAATCCACCATATTAATACCATCCTTTCTTCCTACCTAAACATGAACACACCTGGGAGGTGCATTCCCTCCACCCCACCCCAACCACCCCATTTCTGCCTATCTGCCCCTTCACAGAGGAGAGGAACACACCATCACGGCTTAGTTCTAAAGTCTGGTGACTACTTGAAAGATCATTCCCATTTTTTGTGTTGAGAAGAGCACACAGTCCTGTGTGTTAGAACTACTTTCTGTGTCACAGGATGAGGTTTGTGAATTGCAGTTGCCAACTAGATGCTCCGGAGGCTTATGTTTCATAACGGAAAATGCTGCATTCTGTTTTTTCTCTGCAGTGTCAGTGTGAGGGAACCCGGGGGTGGGGGAGGGACAGTCAATATGACCAAATATAAGCTGTCAAGTTTCACATTTGTTCCCTTAGGCCTATGGGGAGAAGCTACCTAATTCAGGGACTTCTCAGCTTCAGATACCATTTTGCAAGCTTCAGGGTCACAGAACATGTTTTGATTTCTTCTTTTACTCTGGAGTTTGCAGACATGCTTTCCTGGTGGTGTGGCCCATCTCCACTGACACTGCAGTGGAGTATACCAGTCATGCAATAGAGCTGCATGGGTGTTCACTGCATGAATCTCAATATTTAAAACACAGGAGATAACCTACTTTCCTAGTAGCCGATACAGTATTCCTACTTAGAGTATTAATAGCCTCGAGATGGTATTGAACTAGGGTATTTTTCACATCAGAAGGCAAAAGCCCTCCATCAGGGTAAAACAAATAGACTATTTGGAATGGGGAACCAAAACTTCTGGCTGGACCTCTCGGCCCACCTCTGTTCTTTTCAATAGGAGCACAGACCTGCCACAGCAGGAGAATAAACAGAAAAGTCAGACTGTAAACACTCACATGACTGAACTTTGGGAGTTAATCTAGTCATGGGCATGACTACACAGCTTCCCAGGAAATTGGTCCTGAGGACTGGCAGGTCTGTAGAGGTTCAATGTATATAAATATATATCAGCTATCTATCTCTCTCATGTGTTCCTCTAGCAAGCTATAGAAAAATTGCATTTGAACATTGTATATGCTTATGCAATATCTTGACACAGGGCAATTTATGCATGTGTTTGACTATGTGCACTAGAATATATATACATACACAAGTGTGTGTATATGTACATTATACACACACATATATATATATTCATTCTCTGGAGTTCAGATTCAGGAGCAAATCTATTGCTTGGTGGGTTGGTTGTGTAAGAAACTCAATGGGTATGGTAAACCCACTGGGCCTGGGTTTGCTGTCCTTGCCTCAGATAACACTCCAGTGTTCATGGATTCCTAGACATTAGAATTGTCTTTCTGCCCTCCACGTGCTGCAGCTTCAGTTTTCCATGGCTGAAGCTTGTCTTACTGAGTGCACAAGGGTCCTATAGCCCTCACAGCTCCAGCTATCCTGGGCCAGGCTCACCCAGGTCTCCCCCCTACAATCCATCCCATGAATCATCTCCATTATTATCCTCTGCTCCATTTGATTCTCTATCATTTGGTTCTACATCCATCATTTTCATGAACCTGTCCATAGGCGGATCCTCTGCTTTGAAACCAAGGAGTAAAACTCCCTGGGACTAGATTCTACTGATCTAGACTTAAAGGAAGCCTCCTATTGGTGGAAATTTCCTAAGTTCAGAACCAAGGGATGGATTCTCTAAATGACCCAAAGCATCATTTTGATTACAGACTCTCTCCCTAGCATATCAGTAATAAGAGCTGCCCTTAAAAAAGGAGGGGGGAGTAAAGAATTAATTCTCACTCCAAGAACAAGTAAAGAATGGATGAGCACTGTGCAGCCTTGAAGTAGAGAGTGTGTTGGTTCTAGGAAGAGAGTGGGGAAAGCCTTTGTATAGGTTTCTTTGCCTTTTGACACAGTGGCTTAAATTCCCACAAACACAATGAACTGTGGTCAGACTGTTCAGTATTGATTCCAGCCTAGGTCTTGCTGTTCTGTAGATGCTACCTACAGTTGTCTTGGGGGAGGGGGCACCAGCTCAGGGTGCTAGCCCAGGGTGCTCATTAGTTCCTGGTCACCCATATCCCCAGGTGACTGCAAGGCATCCCATGCCAAGCACAAAGCCTCTGTGCTTCTCTTCTTCTCCTTTGTGGGAGGTGGTGCTGAATTTCATGACATGGGATGGAAGGGACAAACTTGGGAGAGTAGAAGGTTAAAACAAACCCATACATAAGGTCTAGGCCAAGGGACGTTAGCTATTCACAAAATTCTTGGCCTGGGAACCATAAAATGCCCACACCCATACATGCACATGCATCATAAAATAAATGATAGATTGTCACATACAAAATATAAAATCTGCAACAGACATGCAAAATACACACAGGCCAAAATAATATAAGAGGCATACACATAAAAGATAGACAAAACATGTATATGCTGCCTAAACATGCATTGTGCATACCAACATAGAATATCTGCAAGAGATGTATTTGCCCCATGTGCAAATATACAGCATGCAACTCAGATGCAAAGTATATGAATCTAACTGGGGGACAATGGATATACATGCAAATTACATAAGTGATAACTTTGTTATTGTTTCTGCACACAAGTTCAGCATATATAAACAGTGTACCAAATTATACTAGGTACACCAGAAACAGTACCCATGCCCACGAATCCACACAAAACATAGACTCTGAATCATCATTAACCATGCCTCTGCTTCCACATCTAAAAATTGATGGATGAAGGCAATGGATCAGATTTAATTGTTTTTCCTTGCCCATATCAATATCCCTCAGTATTCTCCAAGGAGCCTCTTCTTTGACATCCAACCTCATTCCTGAGACATAACTCCTGAGGTTTCAGGTTGGAAAGATGTGGCGCCACATCAGGCACTGGAGTCTCTGGCCTTTCTACCTTTCACCTTCTTGCAAGTAGCCCTCAGGGTGAACGGTGTGGGAACTACAAAATCTGGCAACCTCATATGGGCTTCCTTGCTATCTCCGCTTTTCTTTTTTCAGAGAAAATCTACTCTGAGGACCCAAACTCCTCTCCAAATGTTTGGGATCTCCAGATTTATCCCTATTGTCTTGAAGCACTGATGGCCCAAGAAACTATAGGATTCTGGACCCTGAACCAGGTTTAAATACCCCAAATTTCTTTGAGCCAAAAGATCTTATTAACCTTCCTTCCAAAGTACTCCTTTGTCTGGAGACAGGTCAGAAAACTGATTCTCTCTATAGACTTAGCTCTTCAAATGAGCCACCTCTTCTTGCTCGTGGCATTTCACTCTCTGGTAGGCATGAGTCCAATGAAGTCAACTCTTGATTCATTCAATCTAGATTTGTTCTCCCCTTATTTCCCAACCTGGGCTCCCAGGGCACTCTGGCTCACCATTCAATTGTTGTGCCTTGACAAAATTGCAAACCAATTTAACTGAAATAAAATGTAATGAGGGACATTAGTCTATGACTAGAGGAGCGGTTAACAATTTTTAGAGGGCCTGGTTTTGTCTTCTATTCTAACACTAAATTTAAATAGTTGGTAAGATTACCCACCATTACAGAGCCCAGGGACTTCTTCTTCCTTCTAATAGGACCAGCTGGGGCCTGTGCATTTTGGCAAAAGCTTTACCCAAAATGGAAGTTAAAAGATGTGCCCAGCTTTGGATCAAGTTTTGTGGGCTCTATTCCGATAGCCCTGAGTATCGTAACCCTCTCTTCAGGCCTCTATAGAGGAGGCAACAACAGCAGAGAGTAGACATGTGGTCCAAAACTTGTACACTTAACACAAGAGACTTGTGTTTCCAAAGCTTAGTGAGATGCCTCTGTTGCCTCAGACATTTTTAAAAGTTGTTGTTTCTGGGAGGTTGGAAAGGAAAGAGTCCAGGAAAGGTAGAGAAGTTGTCAGGATGAGAAGGCAACAGAGCTGTTGAATTTCTGAGTAAATTTATCAGTTCTAAGTTTTCATTGATTGATTAAATCTAATTCAGGAACCCAAATTTCATTTAGTTATGGCTCTGTGCCTTTCTAGAGCTTCAATGGTGTATTAGAGTCAAGTCTTGAGAGAAAAGTCAGTGCATCTGAAGATCCTCAGGCAGGGAATTCAATGCTAACCATAGTCATGGAAAGGAGTTAGAAATGCATCTTCCCCAGAGAAAAACTATAGGAAGTACAAACAGTATGTAAAGGCCATGAGGAGAGCACAATCCTGTGACTTGTTAACCTAGGATAGAGGATGACCCCAGAGCTCTTCCTCTTCCAGTCTGCATATGGGGAATGGGATAGCTAAGGCCTGAGAGGGTTCTGATGTGTAGGGTACTCCTGGTTACACAATAGAGGTTCCTTTTGAAAAAGTGTTCATTTTCCAGGTTCAAACTCATGACCTTAACTCATTAACATCATTAGCTACCTGAGTCAACCAGCATGAGGTGTATATGCTGGGAGCTGTCTTGGTAGTTATAGTGACCATCATCTATACCCTCAGACTTGGCCCTTATTGAGACCAACACACAAACACACACACACACACACACACCCCGAGCAGAAAGCAGGAGAGGAGAGGTAAGGGATCCCTTACACACTCCTCAACTAACCTAGTCTTCTTTTCCCTTCTTCCTGCTCCCCTTCTCCCTAAAACTCAGCTCCATCTCTCATTTGTGTCTAATGTTTTTAAAGAGGAAATGTGCAATAAAAGCAATAGTGACTGTTTTCTTTAGCAATAGCTCTTTCAAAATCTTGCTCTCAGGACTGAAAAGTGATAGATGATACATACATCATCAGACAATGCCCTGACCTCTGGACATCTGTTCACGGTTTCTGTAGTTCTTTTTCCCACATGATCATATGAATGATTCCTGTCTGCTGAGGTCTGACCTCCTTCTGGAATGAAAATATACAGAGAGGTGCAGTGTGCACTCAGGGAAGGCCCACAGGAAGGCTTTCTTTTGTCATTCTGTCTCTTTTTTTGTGCGCACCTCTATGCGTGTCTCTGTTTCCCTCTCCCACTGCCTCGCCTTTCTACCAGTTCTTCAGCAGTACCCTAGAAACTTTTATGCA